TCCCGGGCAGCCACCACGTTGGGGTGGTTCAGCCTAGGAAGGAGCAGAGACCAGTGAGGACAGACCCTGGGCTTAGCCTCCACCACCACCCCTCCATGTCCTTAGCCCAGCCCCCCTCACAGCAGAGGCCCCAAGGGAGACACTAAGTAACCGAGCAGAGTAACCCAGGCTCTCGGGCTCTCTGCTTGGAGCCCCACGGGATCACAGGACCTCGAGGGCACTGGGATGATGGGTGTAATGACGTAATGGATGATGGAATGATCTGGTGCCAGGGGATCATGTGCAGCGTGGGGAGTGTGAGTTCTTAAAGAGTCTCCCAGTCAAACCCTCGTTGCCCGTGATGTCAGCCCTGCTTCTGAAAGCTGAGACAGCGGAAAGACTCCGATCTCGAGGGCCATGCTGATGTGGATGAGGAGGACCGGGACAATGAGGAGGACGACAAAGACGACAACGTGTGTGTGTGGGCAGCACACGCTTCTGTGGCACCCCCTCTTTTTTATGAGGTCAACAGCAGAGGGAGCGCTGGCTGCTCGCAGTGCTTACCGGCATGCCTGACTAGCAGGGAGGACGGCATCCATCTAGCAGACGGACAGGCCCTGCCTCCTCCCTGGAGGGCTAAGTGTCAGCTAGAGGTTGACAGCAGTGGAGAGTCACATACCACCTTGGAATTGGAAATAGAGGGGAAAAGAGGATTTTTGCTGGCAGAGAAAAGGCCAGCCTGGCGCCCACGTGGGATGACAGTGTCACCAATGAAGTTGGTCAAAAACCCTCCATGAGGCCCGGTGCTCGGCTTTAAATGTCACTAACGTTTAATAACCTCCTCGTCAGTTATCTTGTTACGGTTTTCATTGGGGCCTGGGTGAAAGAAGGTACCTCCTGGAGAAGCAGGCCGGTTTCTTTTCGGTTTGGAAGGTCTGCCAGGGCCCCCTCCAGATTTCAGAGTCCTTCTGCTGGCCCTCCACCCCCGCCGGCCCCTGGCGTGGCTCCAGCACCCCAGCTCTGTGCACGCAGGCCCTCACCTTCGCATGATCTGGATTTCCAGGCACCACCGCTCCCGGTTCCGGGGGCTGAGCTCCTGTCGGCACTGCTTGATAGCAATCTGCTCACCTGTTTCCTGCAGAGAGAGCACGGCCAGGCCCAGCACAATTAAGGGTCAAAAAGACAGGGCCTTCCAACAGAAACTGCTTCCTGCAGCTAAACCCAGGGTCCAAGGCATCGGATGCAATCGCCTCTGCCAGCTCTCAGACTGGCACATACCCCTGAGCACAATCCACCAGGACCTGCCACTGGCTCAGACTGATCTCCTCCATCGCTGCACCTGCCCTTCTCCATCAGTGCCAGCCAGTCTTCCGACCCTTTCCGCCCTTGCTCAGTCCTTACCTCCTCCCTGCAATCTCTGCTAACCACTACTACCCAGATTTCTCTCTACTCCAAGCCACTCTGGAGGGATTAGGTTCAACCATGTGGCATTCACAGAACCGCATGGCTGAGAGTCTATCTGTTTTCACCTACACAGAGGGCACTTTCCTATGGTCCAACCTAAGAACTAATACCACAGTCAGTGTCCTCATTGTTCCATGTAAGCATTGCTTGTTTGTTCGTTTTGTTTGCTTTCTTCTCTCTCCAGAGTCTAGAGAAGGCGCACCAAAAACCGCACACCAAATTCACTGCCATCAAGTCGTTTCTGACTCAGGGAGACCTTATAGAACAGAGTAGAACTGGTCCTATGGGTTTCGGAGACAGTACATCTTTATGGGACTAGAAAGCCTCATTTTTCTACTGTGGAGAAACTGTGGTTTCAAACTACTGGCCTTGCAGTTGGCAGCCCAATTTGTAACCCACTAGGCTGGTTCCATTCCACATATGAGCTATGCAGCCCTGGCCAGAAATCATTCTGACCCATCTGCACAATGGGTTTAATGTCCACCATTCAGAGCTCATGTAGATGAGCACTACCCATGCCCAGACCTTAGTAGCTGCTCAGTTAATCTACTAAAACCCTCCTCCACCCCCTGGTCAGGCAGCTCCTCCCAAATTTGGCTTCCATCCGACTCTCCTGCTACTCTCCCATGGCCGTACACCAGGCACCTGCTACCAGAGCTCACAGAAACCCCCAGCCCTGCTCCCATGCTTTCCTCATCTGCCTTCACTGACATGGGTCCACAGGCACCACGGTCCTCCTGGCCCCTGGGAGCTGAGTCCTCCTCCGGGTTCCTCTGCCAGTCAACTGCTGCACATTTGTACAGGCTGATAGGAGTTTCTTGTATGGCCACAGGGTTGTTTTCTCTCTCCTTTGTTAAAATTATAGTTTTCCTCCCTTTATATGCGTTGACCTCCACCCAGCATCTAGTGCAAGACCCTCAATGTTCTAGAACTGAAGAGGAGGCTGTCCACAAATGCTTGTAGCTAATGGGCTGAATTGAATGGTGTTTCCTGAGCATCAACTCTTCCCTTTTCCTGGGTGCTATAGGCAGAATCCAGGACCTAGTGGGACAGGGCAAAAGGGGAGGTACTGTGGCTAGAGTGTTAGTGGCGGAGGCCTGCACAGTGGCTCTGGTCTTTGGCATACCAGATGCCCTTTGGGCAACAAGGAGAGGCATCACTCCCCCACCATCACCGCCTCCTCCTCCTCCATCCCCAGGACTCCAGGGCACAGCTCCAGTGACAATGGCTTGGGGTGATCCAGTCATGGGTACATAAGCAAGCTGACTTAGGCTCCCATGTGCGCAGCTGAGGCAAGACCCTGCCCAACAGCCATGCCCTCCACATACGCCTGGGGAAGAGCCATGGGCCTGTCATAAATCTAACGATGGGACTTTAGAACTATACCAAGTCTCCTGCCGCCCTACGGAAGGTCGCCCAAGATCTTGTTCTCAGTTTATGAAGTTTTGTACTTAGAAAGGCCATTAGTCTACTAAGTGAGGTCATTTATACGGTCCTGAACGGGGCTTGAGATTTGTCTACACACCGCTGGTGGCTAGTTCCTGGATGCTGCTCAGGGGTGCTGCATGGTGTGGGTGGGCACTGTTTATTTACCCACTGTGGAGAGGGTCTGAGTTGTTTCTGGTTGGAGTCTTTGAATAAAGTTGCTATAAACATTAAAAACAAAAGTAAACCCATCTTCAGAGTCCCCACGTGGATTAAGCTTCCATTGAATCCCCTCTGACCACTGACCAGGGATGTGACCAGTCTTGTCCTCAGAGTGCATTGGTAAATTACCTCTACCCTCCTGACCAGGCCAGGGAGAGGAAGTTTCCCTTGGGGGGGCTTGCCTGGGTCCTTGATGGAGATCTCCATACTGGGGGTCGCACAGTCACAAGTCAGACCCTGACTTCCTTGGGGAGGCCCCTGGTCCTATCTTATAAACTCCTCTGTCTAACACAATGTACGTGTCCCAGTCATGGCCCCATTCCTGCTCCAGCGATCCCACTTGTAACAACAATATTGTTGTTACAAGGGATCTGCCACCAACCATGCATTTGTGACACTTCTCTTTGACCTCCTAGGTCCTCTTTAAAGCTCGTCTACCAGCAAACCCTGGGTACCATATGACCTTGTGCTAATGGCCTCCCCTCATCTGCATAGATCTTTGTTTTTGTCTTGTCATTGCCCCATTTAAGATTTAATAAATGTTCTCTTAAAAGAAAAGAAAAGGAAAAGCCCACATTGTGGCGAGACCTGGTGCATGTGGCTGTCTCGAGGCAGGAAACTGCATCCCAGCCCAATGGTTACTGACTGGCCATGACCCCTGCGGAAACAAGAAGCCACCCGAAGAGAAAAGGTACAAGGGAGACCCCCGAGCACAAGCCGATGCTGTCCAATAAGACCACCAATAACTGATCAGGAAACCAGTCCAAAGAAAGGAAATTTCAGAAAACAAAAAACGGAAGTGCATTCGGACTCCTGTAATCGCTCCAGGATTCTCCCGAAGCTGCTTTTATCAAAGCCCCAGCTGCTTTGGCGAAGCTCCCTGCCATGCAGTTACCTCACGTGTCCATTCTTTCCCAAACAGCCTTGTTGAGGCATAACTCACATTCCCTACAATGCCTCCATTCTAAATGTGTAACTCGGTGATTTTTAATAGATTCACAGAACTGTTCAACCATTTCCATAATAAAAAAACCCAACCCAACATCATATGCATTAACTATCATTCTCTACCCCACCCCCGCCCCCAGCCGTAGGCAACCATGGTCTATCTAGTTTATACCTCCATGGATTTTCATCATCACTAGGTGGTCCTTGGTGAAGGTCCTTTTCATATAGCATAATGTTTCCAAGCTTCGTCCATATAGTAGCCACACACCCACTTTTGTGCCTAGAACATAATCTTTGGTCCATCCTGCTGGAGTAGGGTTTGATAATCAAGGTTCTACGGAAGTATCAACCGCTTTCTTTGTCTGTAAGAGCCCTGACCTTTGGTATGGATTCTGAGGGAGAGCTGACCTACAAAATTTGCAAATCCTGTTGCTATGGGACCAATGAGTACAGATGTACAAATGATTTTTGGGTAGAAGTCCATCTAGTACTTCGCAGGGGTGAGGGAACATGTCAAAAGAAAAGCATTTTTTCAACCAATGTATTGACTTGTGTTATGCCTTGCAAAACCTTCTACCATCTATACCAAGAGCATCCTGACTCTTCCATTTCATCAGTTCTCAAACTGATGTGAACCTGGTTTCAAGCTTCACCTCTCCTTAGTGTTCAGACTCCAACATTCTTGCCCAGTTTGATGGTAACTCCATCAATAGCGGCTCAGCCCAGTGCTTTGATAGATGCTTGTTTCTAGTCAGACGGGACTCCAGAGACACCGAGCCGTGTAGACTGACAATGACCGTGGACCAATGGACAGAGCTGTAACATTTTGAGAGGGTCCACTCATCATAAAATCCTTCCGTGAATAGGAACACTTTAGGTGGACATAGTGTAACTCATCGTTAGCTACCTCACTCTAAGACCTTAAACCAAGATACCGAAAAGTTTGCACCTATTGCATACAAGTCACAGGGTAGTTTATTCATTTGATATTGCTACTGGGGAAAAAATCATCAGAGACTTAATGGCTTAACACAAAACGAGCTTATAATGCTATTACAGCTCTGGAGGCCAGAAGTCTGAAACAAGTTTCATGGGTCTAAAACTGATGAGGCGCCAATAGGGGCTGTATTCCTCTTGGGGACTTCTGGGGGAGAAGCCATTCCCTGGCCCTTTCTAGCTTTTAGAGGCCACCCACATTCCTTGGCTTATGCATCATACCTCCATTCCCAAAGTCAACGGTGCCCAGTTTAGCATTTCTCACACAGCACTGTCCTAACACTGACTCTCCTGCCTCCTTCTTCCATTTTTAAGAATCCCTTTAAGGACACTGGTTCCACTCAGATACTAGGTAAACTCTCTCTTTAAGTGAGATGACTAGTAACCTGAACCCCACCTACCATCTTAATTCCCCTTTGTCATATAATCACAGGCTCTGGGGGCTCAGATGCAAATCGTTTCGTGGGCTCACAACAAATGGAATTGCCTACAAATTGCCTACAACATATGGAATGCTTCCTTCATACACCAGGGCAGTTCAGCTGACCCATAGGGCAGATAGACTAAATGAATTAGGCAAGGGCTCATTAGGTAAGGTGCCTGGCCATCCTTGTAGAATTTTGACCAACACAAGCACTAGACTGACAGACGGCTTTCATGTGACCCAACCTGGAATCCAGGAATAGATTTTCACAATGAAAAGTGCTTTTTGGTCTCAAGCTAAGGTGTGGACTTTGCAATATGAACACCAAACAAGTCTTAGAAAATCTGGGCATAAAAACTAAAGGTCACCTCATGTGGACAGCTCAGCTCAGTCCTCACAATTACAGTGAAACCCTAGAAACATCGGATGCCTAGACGCAGGCTCACAGGAAGTTTTCTACTGACCGTCACCCCATCTGCCTCAAGGAAGTGCCGTTCAACAGGCCAGTTCTCAGAAGCTCTGGTTCATTTGACACTGGGACCCCTGGCCAAATGACTTTCTGCTGCTAAGAGCACACCTGCTCTAGAACACAAACTTCAATTAAGCAGTACAGGCACAGGTCACGAACAGAAACCCAGCACTTGCACGAAATGGCC